CTACTGTTCTTAATATAGTTATTATTTTTAAATATAGATTGTAATTGATGCATGTTAGGTAACTTTTATCAATAAAAATAAAACTAAAATTAACTGTCCGTATTTTAAACAATGTATGATCAATATTTTCGATAGAGTTACCGTAATCTAGAATATTATGATGCAAATTGTAGATCCAGAAGAAAAAAATACATCTTAAAGAAGTAATGATTTTACATTTTTTGCATTTAATATTTTTCTTTGATTGGTATAATTTAAAAAATATATATACAGTAGAACCTCTGAATACCGGACACTCTTGATCGTTGAAAATTTGTCCCCTATTTGAAGATATCCGGTATTTAAAGGGAGAAATATAATATTAGTGAAATTAAAAATTTAAATTATAATTAAAAAATGTATTTATTTATTTAAAATGATTTATACATAGGTACAACATTATTTACTAAAAATCGATTACAATCGAAGATCGTGAATTCAATCTAATGTAACCAAAGACTTGAAGTTCCAAATCTTCATTAATATGATTTACTCTAGGTAGTCTACTGACTACTTTTAAAGGGTGGACTGTGTTTGCGCTTATCTAGAAAAACCTTGATTGCGCTTAATACAATTTACTAATACTTGTTTGCATAAATCTGGCAATATCACAATGCTTAATTAAAAGTTCCAATTTTTCAGACTTCAAACAGACAGAATAAAATATATTATAACTACTAATTACTACAATAATACATTACTAATCAATAAATATGGTAACAAGCGTAGTGATACAAAAATGAAAATAGTTGACCAAAATGAACAATTTTCATTTTTAAAGTTCTGTTTAATAAAATAAATAATATTTTTATCTGTCATATCTGTTATAATAATATATACATATCTAACTTTGTATCTTGTAGATAATTTTTATTACCTGGATAAGGAATTTTACCACTAGTCATTATATCAACCGTTATAGTTAGTCAGTTGTCATCGTATGTAATTACGTGCTTATGTTTTAATAAAATTGTTTTAAAAAATGACCGAAAATAGAAGTTGCACAAAGTGTATGCAAAAATTCTAAAGATTTACTTATTGCTGATAGTTATAAATTTAAAAAGTCTACGAAAGTAAATCTGGTAATGTAACGCAGCGTTGTACAATAAAATCCTGTCTAGCAAGGCCATAGGCGCAGTTAGGAGGGTGAAATAAGGTTATTAGCACCCCTGAGTTTAAATGTAGCACTCCTGTTTTTTTTAGATTTATATAATCTATAGTATATATAAACGACGCCCAAGGCAAAGATGGCTAGATGCAGTTAGAAGAGATATAGAGGAGTTAAAACCGGATTGGAATGGAAACTTAGATCTAGCCTACGCAAGAGATGTTTGGGAAAAACTGGTGTTAGAAGCAAAGAGCCTAAATGGCTCATAAAAGCTAAAAAAAAAAAAAATGGTATATACAATAGTATAGTATATAATAGTAATTACAATTAAATACCATTTTATTTTATTTTCAGCAATTTCAGCACCCTCAATATTTTTGCTCTAATTGCGCCCACGAGCAATACTAATTAAAAATGGAAATTCAACTATGAATAGCAATTTAATTCATAACCATGATATGAATGAAAAAAAATTAAATCGTCAATTTATTCCGAAGTGCGTGTAAAAAAAGAGCCAAAAACATGACTGATCGTTCAATTAAAATTATAAATAAATGAATTTAACCTATTAACTAACTTATGTCATTGTATGTATACATCCTTACTCTGTAAAAATAAATTATCCAACTCAATAATTTTAACTTTTAGACTTCAATTTTCAATACTGATAGAAAAGTATGATGTTTGTTTTTTATTTTGGCATTTATTAAAAATTACATACTAGAACCTACCTAAAATATTTTTATCTAGTAATATTTGTGTAAAAGTAAAAAAAAAAATAGGTTTAAATATTAGTCAATATATAATTGATTAAAGGTTAAAATTTTAAATATAAACAGCCAAATAATTAAAATAACTTTATAAGATAACTAAACAAAATAAATAATTACAATAAAAAATTATATTACCTGATATAATTTGATAAAAGCATGAACATTTTAACTCAAGGTTATTTAATTCATAACATTTTACTCCATTCATACATTCAAATTCAGTTTTATTACTTTTTTTTTTAATGTATACAATTAAATATTTATATCTGATAAGACTCAAGTATTTCCGCTGATGTTTACAGCAATAAAGAACCACAATGTAAATTATAGTGGCTAGAATATCGACCCACAATTTTATTTTACAAAGTATTTAAAATAAATGTTTAAAAACAGTGTGAAAAATAATCTTATATAATCAGATAAAATCAGTAAATTGGAAAATGTTTTTTTTAAATTTAAATGGCGAGTATTTGGGTAATATTTTAACCATCTGATAATATGAATTATTCATTGTTTTTTTGTACATAGTTAATTAAGAAAAAAACGAGTTTGGTGAATGCATGATTTATTGTACTGATTCGCGACTTATAAAGCGAAAATTTTCAAATATACAAGTAATTTAAAATGCAGTGATAATACATTTTTACTCTTTGTTAACATTGTTTCGTGGAACAATTGCTCATTCATTGTATAAACTATAAAGCATAAAGTAAAGTGAGGTATATTCGTGATAAATTTACAAAATGTCTACTTACACATTACATTTTAGTTCCCTACTGAATTTAATTAATAGTGGACATAGAGTTAAGGAATTAGAATCAATACAAATTTGAGATTGTATGACCTATACTTTTTTTTTATGGTAATTCAAAATCCACTACGAAAAGTAAGATAATTTTGTGATCATACAATAATTTCAATATTTCATCCAAATTATTTTTTATTATTATATAAAACAAATGTAAATTTAAGATAACAATTTAACAATACTTTTTTATTCTTAAATTCCTAAAAAAACAATATTAATCAAACTAATTAACTGAGAAAATTAAAATAAAAGAAATCATTCTACCTTTAATAAAAATTATAATTATAAAAAATAACAAGCTATTAATATCATGTGTATAAAAATTAAATTAATCAGGATTTTAAGTTCATATTTCTGTATCAGACTAGTTAACAACAATTACCACACAAAAAACTTCATAATTTTCATCAAATGACTGACAGCTCTAATGATAAATTGTTAAACAATAAGAACTCTGTACCCATTTTTTCCACATTTTTATTTTATATATGCCTTATAATGCTTTAAAAATATACATTTTTTATTCATTGAGCATTTTATCTGCTGTTACCTATTCAACATTATCGTAATTCCGACATTTTTTGGGCATTGTGCTAGTATGTGTGATCTAAAATCTACAAATTATTTTAAAATTAAGTATGTAATTTAGTGATAGTAATTCCGTGATTGGCTAATTGCATAATTATTTGCAAATTTAGACAGATAAATATATATATTATTCGTTTTACTATAAGGCATTGAGCGCTTAAAATAATACTTAAAACTGTTAAATTTAATTAAAAAATATGATTCAAAATACAAAATAATTTGAGGTGGAAATTATAAGAAAATAAATATTTACAGTAAGGAATTAAAAATTAAAATCAATCACATAAAAAAAAATATACCATTAAATTAAGTATGTTTTATAATTTAATATAAAATATGAATTAATAGACTCACCTTAAATACGCATTGAAAAAAATTCATTAAAACTTTAACATAAAAAATAAAAAAATCGATAAATAGGTACTTATAAGAATTGAGTCCCGGGGTTTTTTTTAGACTACACGATAAATATGAAAATTGCCAATTAACTCATCTCGATTTTATTAAAAAGATATCGTTCAAGTTTTCAACAGTCTTATAATTTTTTTTAATCTAATTTTAATCTTTTAATTTTTAATATAATCATAATTATAACTTTATGTAATTTAATTTATATACTTCTACTGGTAATTACATAACTAAAAAAAATATTTTTAACCTACCGTTAGTAGTAAATTGGTATTGATAGTCCTAAATCTGTATAAAATAGTTAGGAAAATGTTATTTTTATTTTGAGACGTAATTTATGTAGTGGTTAAATATTATTAGGACACAAGTTGTGTAGTCGTTTAGAAAACTTTGGACAAAATTCATGTGGAAAAGATCTTTCGGGTTAGGAATTTAACCGTTTAAAATTTAGTTTTAAAATAAGCCGACCTGCAGATTATTAAGTTATGTCCACATATCTACTTACATTTCGACGAAATAATATCAAATGTTTATCAGACTGGTTTTCGTATTATCGAAGATCCGCCTTCAACAGATTTCACCATATTGTTTATTTTAAAATTTAAACCACATTTAATATAAGCTATACAATGAATATTTAAGTGATTCTTACGACTTAGCTTTCATAAGCTTTCATATTAATTTACATTTGGATCTTATTTAGGTAATTAATATTTTCTATTTACTATCAAAAACAAAGAGCAAGATGTGTTTAAAAAAAATTATAAAACGTTCTTTTATTTATACCTATTATTATTCATCATCTATTTTAGTAATTAGATATTTTATTTCTAAAAATGTTTCACGAGTACGATTTATGTACCTATGTATACTAACCTATGAAGATTTAATTTTGTTATTTATAGTTTTATATAAATGTATGTGTATAAGATTAAATATCATAGTTAACTTACCATAAAAAAGATATTTTATGTAATTGTAATATAACTTTTTACTTCCTTTTGTTGTTTTTCTTTATTTATAGTTCAGTATATATATAAAATGTATTATTATTATTTATTTTTCGCTGAATGTGAAAACTATGTAAATTAAATTAACGATAACATTTTAACTAAAAATTAAAACAATTAGTTTTCTTCCCGCCAATATAATAAAAATTTATTTGTATGCATTGACAAATTAATTCAAAATTCAAAATTGAAATTTTCATAAATATGGTTACACTGTAATCATATGTTTCATTTTGATAAAAACGATGCAACATATATATTTAAGAAGTTTTTGTAAATTTGTCCTCGAGGTTCCAAACTAGTTAAAACTGACTGATGTAAGTCGTAATTAAGTGTCTAATACATTGTACATATAAAATTAAATAATTTATTGAACTAATCTTATAATTTTTGTCAATATAAAATGAATAGAAACAATGTTTTGATAAAATCCTGTTTGATTAATAATCAGGTAAAGTTATAATTACTATTTTTGTACATTGATACTTCCAAATATCTAAATAATAATCTTAGAGATTATTAAATTGTATTTTTAAAGGGATCTTATTAATGATTTGATGTATTTATAATAGTTTTAAGGAGATACATTTTTAGTTCCGCAGATACGTAGCTACTACAGAGAAACCAAAAGAAACTATACCTAATGTTAAAGGGTTGAGTTCTAAGGTTATCATTGCTAGTCCACCACCAGGTAAATAATTATTTTATATATGTACTTAATAACTTAACGATGAACAAAATACTTATTAACTAAAATTATTTAAATTATGAATTCATAAAAAAAGTTATTTTAGATTCTGGGTGAAATGAAGAATGTATTGGTTTTTCCATTATATGTGTTTTTTTTCATAAATTATAAAGTATATTCATAAATGATTATACTTCTTACCAACAAATTAAAACTTACTTAATTTTTAAAATATATAATTGTATAAAATAATTATTGTAACATTGTGTTAATATACCCATAGAAGATATGTGTATTGATTTAAAAATCTTATTACTACAATAATTGATAATGAAAAAGATAATTGATATAATCCTCGCATTCATAGAATTATAAGTTTTAATTAAATTTGATAACAGAAACATAAATACAAGTTTTGACTTAATATTATTTTTATTCATACTGAAATGTGTTTCTAAACACATTATTTAATCTAAACCATTAGGTTTTGATTGAAAATAATGTACTAGTGTAAATAATGTAAAATCAGAAGTGTTCTTGTCCCTCTAGCATAATTTAATTTCTAAGGCTTTATTCATTTGACTATTCTAACATCAATATTATAAACGTAATTTAATGTTATAATTTATTCTAAGAGCTGTATATGTATTTATAATATTGTTTATATTTTTTGTTTTATTTTATCTTAGAACGTATAAAGAAAGCTGCTGCAAACGGTCCTTATAAAAATCCACAATACTTCAGTTACCACAAGAATTCGTATTTTGATGCTGAAATTGAAATGCACAAATATAGATTGCCACAGCCTTCAAGTTTAAAGTAGATAAATAATGTAAGATCTTATGAATAATAAAATATTTATAAGTACTTGTACAATATAAATATAAATACAGTGAATCTTTCGAGTAACAAATTTTAATTTAACATTAATTTTCTATTAAACAAATTATTTTTGAGAACCATGACCTTAATTGTTAATCATGTGTAAATAAATCTTTGTCTAATTGAATCTATTGTCTGTATGTTATAAATAAACTGTTCAATATCAAACCCACTATTGTTTAAAGTTATCAGTAACTATTATCAAATATTAAATATTCTTTTAAATTTATATGATTTTATATCCCATAAAAATAAGATACAAACAATAAGAAGACAAGTAAGCTTGTTAATTTTGCAAGAGTCTGCAGTTCTCATAATGACCTGAACATATAGATAAAGGGCTTGTCTCTCATTTTTTTAATACATAAAAAAATGTCAAAACGGAAATGTTTATCTATTGCTGATAAATTTGAAATTTTAAATGAAGTTGATAAAGGTATTAAGAAAAAAGATATTGCTGAAAGATATGGTATACCGACAAGTTCTCTTTCAACTATATTAAAAAACCGTGAAAACATAATTAGGCAAGTAGAATCTAATAATCTCTTAAAAAATAGAAAGCGAATAAAAGTGTGTGTTTATGAAAAAGTTGATAAAGCTGTTCTCAAATGGATTGCTTGTAAACAAAATTATAATCTGCCAATATCAAATATGTTAATAAAAAAAAAAGCAATTCATTTTGCTCAAAAACTTGGTTTTGATGACTTTCGTGCTAGTTCTGGATGGTTGGATAAATTTAAATCAAGGCATAATATTATGTTTAAAGTTATCTGTGGCAAGAGCGTTGATATTTCAGAAGAAGACAGTGATTTATGGAAATCAAATATTTTACCAAAATTAATAGAAAAATTTGATCCAAAAGATATTTTTAATGCAGATGAGACAGGTTTATTCTTCAAATGTTTACCAAACCAAACATTAGATTTTAAACATGAAAAATGTTTTAGTGGTAAACGTAGTAAAGAGAGAATTACTTTATTGGTGTGTTCTAATATGACTGGAACAGAAAAACAAAAACTTCTTATTATTGGAGAAAACAAAAATCCAAGATGTTTTAAAGGAATAAAATCACTTGAAACAAATTATGATTTTAATAAAAAGGCATGGATGACATCTAACATTTTTGAAAAGTGGTTACTCGATATTGATAGGAAAATGAGTCTAGATAAACGAAAAATAATTTTATTTGTGAGAAATTGTACTGCTCATCCTCGTACATTATGTTTGAAGTTAAAATCTATTACACTTGCATATTTTCCATCAAATATAAGTAAACTTCAACCAATGAATCAAGGAATAATTAATAATCTAAAAGTGTATTATCGAAAACGTATTTTGAATAAAGTTATTTCAAATAATAAAAACAACATAACAATTACTCTACGAGATTGTATTTCTGAAGTTTCAAAAGCATGGAGTAATGATGTGGCATCCGAAATAATAAAAAAATGTTTCTCTAGAGCTGGGTTTAAAAAAATGTTTATCAAAACCGATGTAAAAGTTCCAGATGTACAACAAGAATGGGATATAGATCAATGTAATGATATGACTTTACAAGATTATTTGAAAATTGATGAAGATATTACTGTTTATGAATCACCTATTGATGATGATATTGTGGAAGATGTTAAAAAGAAAGAAAATTCTGGTGAAGATAGATACGAAGATGAAAATGAAAGTGCAGAAGAATTGCCAAAACTAACAGAAGAAGAAATATTAAATGCATTCTCTGTAGTTAGGAATGGTTTAAGGCAACAAGTCAATATTCCTTATGACATTTTTATGAAACTTAATGAAATAGAAACTTTTTTTGAAAAAACTACAATTTACAAAAATAATAAAGATATGGGATTCACAGATTATTTCAATTAAAATAAAAAAATTAATTTAATGTAAATACCTAATATATGATGTATCTATGTTTAATATATACTCATGTCATTTTTTTTAATATATATATGTTCTTTAATTAAATAAAACAATTAAGTAATGCTATTTCAAAAATGTCTATAATGAATATTTTATATTTATTACTTATTTGACTTTGTTATATGGGAGTTTCACTGTATACAACTATTTTTAACTGAACAATTTATTAATTTAATTATTATGTAATTTTTTTTTTTTTGTAAAATTTACTAATAAAATAATTAAAAATCAAATTTAAATTAAAAATGATTAAATGGTTATTAATTGTAGATTAATGTATAAATAAATAAATAATAGTTTTGCATGGATTATCATTATATTTGTAAAATACAACTGGTTTCAAATTAAAAATTCATTGTCATAGGCGTAGCCAGGGGGGCAACTGCATACCCCGAATGCTTATTTAAACAACAATATTTTTTACTTTTTTGGAGATTGCTATTTTTCTTTGTAAGTTCACTTTTTGCATATATAGCTATTTAGCTAGAGGTTTCTAGTATACCCTAAATACAAAGTTCGCTTCATTTATATTCATTGTCAGGTATATAAAATCAATAAAATTAGTACGTATTGTGAAAAAATAAAGGAAAGAATACATTGAGAAAAAAAAGTCACTTGACATAAGAAGATAAATAATTTTAATAGGAAAGATTAATTAAAATGAGTTTAAAATTTTTACTTTAAGAATAAAGTATTTAACATGAATATGTTAAGAAATATAAATATTCACTTTGGTTATTTATTATCCAAAATGTATTCATATAAGATATTATTTTTAAAATATGTTTGTACATTTTAAATATTATTTAAACTATTTTTCTTCATTTCATTGCGTTTGTGTAACTCTTCCAAAACTGAATTAATGTAAATTTTATTTTGGTTATTTAATATTTCTAAGTCTATATTGATATCAAAATGCATATTATGGTTATTTTCTAAAACGTTGTTAGCTAAATTGAAATTAACAGGCTAAGCTTTTATTTATACATTGAAACTTACTATTGATAGATTATTAATATTTTTGCAACGCTGAATTGAAAATAATGCATATTCTTTTAAGTTATTTATTTTATATTATAGCCATTTATAGGACATAATTGAAGATAAGCTATATTTTTATTTATAATTTTATAACAAGTTAACTTGCTTTAATGTCAACTATAATAGAACTTAACAAATGTTGTAGTTGCGTCTTCATAAGTATTAGAAAATAAACTATTAATTGGCAACTAACTATCAAATATTAATATGTTATCCTTTTTTTAAATGTTTTATTAAATTATTAACTTTTATAAGTCTATAGATGTACCTATATTTATTTATGCATTGTACTTTTTTCAGATTTACCATGGCTCTTTATAGAATATTGTTAAGATATGTGCCTATGGTTACTTTTCCAGTAGCTTTTGTGGTTGGAATTATTGGTTACAATTTGGAACATTCTGTACGTAATGTTGAAACACCATCCAAACCAAGCATTTTAGAAGAAAAACTTAAAAGAAAAAGAGATGACCCTAATAACGTATATGAGGAACCACCAGTTTTAGAGAGAAATCTATCACCTCCATTAATAAAACACCAATAATTCAGCCATACTATATTATGTTTAATAGCTTAGTTAATAAATTTTATATTCATTAAATGACTGTATTTTTATTAAAAATGTACTTATTATTCAGAGGAAATTTTCTTTTTTAAACTTTTATCAAAGTTTAATAAAATATTTTTATTGCAAACAGGTTTAAAATAGGTTTCATTAAACATGTATTATACTGATAGGCTAGTGTAAAGTGGTCAAATGGTGTTTATACGAGGGTGGTTCGATAAATACTTAGCCTACAAAAAAAAAAAATGAACATTTTGGAAAAGTAGCAATTTATTTTTCAACATAGTCTCCTTTTAGCTTGATATACTTGACCTAGCGATGTTCCAACTTATTTAACCCGTCTGAAAAATATGTTTTCTCGAGGTCTGCAAAGTAGGCCTTTGTAGCGGCGATGATCTCCTCATTTGACTCAAATTTCTGCCCACAAGGGCTTTTTTCAAGTTTGGAAACAAAAAAAAGTTGTATAGGGTCAAAACTGGCGAATACGGTGTATGGGGCAGTAGTTCCTAGCCCAATTCTATCAATTTGACTGTGGGGACGGTGTAGGTGTAAGCCGGTGCATTATCATGGTGGAAAAGAACTTTTTTCTTCGCCAAATGGGATCGTTTTTTCTGCAATTTGGCGTCAAATCAGCCCAATAACCGTTTTACCCTTTTCCAGATATTCGATGTAAATCACCTTTTGAATCCCAGAAAACGGTAGCTATTACCTTTCCGACCGCTAAGACAGTCTGCCTTCTTTGGAGCACGTTCACCTGGTAAATACCCATTGTTTCGACTGGTTCCTTGGTCTCTGGTGTATACCAGTGAATCCATGTTTTGTTGACGGTCACAAAACGACGCAAGAACTCTTTCGGATTTCGCCAAAACAGCGTCAAACACCGATGTGAGTAAACGCGGCACCCATCGCGCAGACAGCTTTTTTATGCTCAAAATTTCATGGAGGATGTGGCCTATGCGGTCTTTTGATATGCTTACTGTCTCAGCTATTTCACATACCTTCAATTGGCGGTCTGCCTAAACGAGATCGTGGATTTTTGTCACTCTGTGGTAGCCGTTTTTGGGGCATCTGGGCGTGGCTCATTAAAAACTGATATGCGATCACGTTGAAACTCATTAACCAAATTTTGACGGTCGCCATCGAATGAGAAGTTACCGTATGCAACATCTAAGCGTTCTTTGATTTCGCAAGGCGATTTCCCTTCCAAAAACAAGAATCGAATCACCGACCGATATTGTTCTTCTCCCATTTTTTTGAAAACGCGGACACGCAAATTCTACACGCGGTCAAAATAAAAATATGAGTCCGTTGAAATTTACGAGAGGATCGCAACAGCAATGTGAGCTAGTATTTCGGAGCAATTATCATAACTAAAATTATTTATAGTTTCATTATCATCTTGTGTTTGTTATCACTAATATATAATATCAATATTATTGATTATTGTATATATTATCATTATTTTGATATATTACTATATTACTACATTATTATATTATATTATAATATAGCATACATAATAATATTATATTATATAACTTGTTTTTTCTATATACGATATTGAACTTAAAGTTCTGGTCTTATAACACAGCAAAAAAATTGTGTTTAAAAAGAATTATAACTATACCAGCATCCAAACTATGCGGCAATTAGAAGTGGGACTGGGGGTGAACAGCACTGTCAAGGGGCCTCAGCTTAGAAAAATTGAGAACTCATAATGCATAGAATTTATTGTACTGTATACATTTGATAGAATATCAAGACCAGTGGCACAGGAACTATTTTTCAAATTATAGTTTTGTCCCCCTTATATCAGAGAGGTCAATTTTCCCCGCCCCCTTTATCTGATGACACTGCAAAGATATAAGGTAAATTGAAAAATAACGATTATTCTAATTCACTGTAAATATTAATAGAGCTAATAACGTTAGAGTTTAAATTGTGTATCATATTTAAGGATTTTATATTATATATAGTGATAACAAACACAGGATGATAATCACGATTATAAAGAAGTTCTTAAATTTCAGCCATGATAACTGTTCCGAAAAACTAGCTCACGTTGCTGTCGTGATCCTCTCATTAAAATTTTATTAGTAATTTTCTATGATGTTCTACACCAGCAGTTCCCAACACATGGGCCGCGAACAGGTGGTACTGGGCCGTGAACCATATTATATTAACATTACTTACATATATTTTTAAAATATTTAATATCAACTAGTGAAGATGATTTGTTGATTGAACTTTCATGTGATTACTCTAAAATCGTTTTTTAAAACTACACCATTAATACCATTCTAGTTAAATACTCTGTAAGACTCCAGCAATTTTTAAAATTTTATTTAGAAACTTAATGGGCTGTATTTTGACAACCTGTGTGTGTCTGTGTAAAGGAGCTTTTTCTACTTATTTTTACGTAATTTTTTTTTTAAAAAAAATGTATTAATAAATTGGATTTTGAGTGATTTAAAGCTAAAACTTTTCATTTTTATTCCAGATATTGATTTTCTCGTGGGGTCAATCCAAAATAACATTAAATTGTTTAACTCTTGAATAATCTGGTTCAATTAGGTTTTTTTTTTTTATAAACAATTATTTTTTAATAAAATGTAATAACTGACATATGTGGACATTATTCATATATTAGTGGGTCTCAAAGATTTTCTACGAAATTGGTGGCCCACACTACTAAAAAGGTTGGGAACCACTGTTTTACACGATGGTAAATTTATTTTGCGATAATGGCGCTATCTTGCGGTGAGGCTAAGTACTTATAGGACAGCCTTTATATGTTAATTTTATCATATCCAGCATTTTAAATTAACTAATAAGAACTAAGTTTATTATTTTTTACCACAAGACAAAAAAAAACATTTTTTATGAAAAGCTGTTAAAATAAAGTAACATTTGTTATAGTTAATTCAGAAACTCAATCAAAAAATGTTTTCATTGCTAGATTTTATTATTTCAAAATGTATATATAGTCTCAAAAAAATGATCTAGCATCTAAAAATACTCGACTATAAATTTACAACATTGAAATATTAAAGTACTGTGAAAAACAACATATATATATATTAATATTAATCAATATACTAATAATAAATAATATTATAAATTAGTATAATTATTAAATTGAGTTAATAAATAATTCCTATCAACTAAAAGTTTTCCTACAGTTAGTCATGTCCTAAAAGTGTCTTGATTATATTTTTGGCGAGTCACAATTAATTATAAAATATATACATTTTCCTTATACTTCGTTCATTAAATATTTAATAATAATTTAATAAGATTTTTATTTAGTCAATATTATCAAAAAGTATTAAAGAAATCTACTTCAGTGATCAATCGCATTATTCATTTTTTAATGAAACACCAATCTTATCAGTTAGAGTATAAGAATTATTCACAAATAAGTTAGAAATTTAATTCACTGACATAATTTCAAGTTATCAATAATGTACACTAATTCATAGATTTTAAAATGTAGAGTTGGAACACAACTTTATTTGATTAAAAAATATGACAACAATTTTTGAAATAGGTTTTTTTTCTTTTGTAAACTAATTTTGGTGCACAATGGATTAATAAATAATTAATAAAATATAATTTATAAGTACAAATGTTTGCTGTATTTTAAAATCATGTCAGTTTTCAATTCATTGTTATTTTACCCTGTGTGTTATAGATACAATTTGAAAAAACTGTTTATGTTAAGCAAAAATAATAAGAAAATAAAGTATATATAATAATAGGTTTATAAATTGCATCTGTGTATAGGTAAACAAATTTTTTTCTTAAATAAAATTATGTTGCAAAATAAATGTACACAATTAAAAATGTAATATACATATGCATGTATACCTATATACATACATATACATATTTAAATAAAATATATAATGTCAAGTTAACAAAAATTATAAATAAATTAATAAATAAATAATGGTAGGCAAAAGTCAATGTATAAATTATTAAATGCTTCTCTCGTTAATGAATCTGAGCTAAATAACTTTAACTGTTTCTTTGGTCAATGAATTAATAATGAAACAAAAATAAATTTTTTTTTCTAATTCTTTTTTTAATGCTATAAATCTGTACTTTCTGGTTCTTTTTTGGAAGAACAAACTGGTGGAGGAGGTGGTGGAGGAATAGGTCGTTGTGTTCTAGTTGGTGTTTTTAATGTTGGCAATTGTCCTTAAAAAATGAATTAAAAATTTGAAATTATAAATATAATCAATTTATAAATATGATGCTTACCTATTTGGGTGTCTGAAGGTGTACGGCGGTGACTAGAAAAATTTGGACTTTTACAAACATCATTGTCATTATTTGAACTTTCTTGATTTGTGTTACTATCTATTATATCTGAAATTCATATTTACATAACCTACATATTAATTTAAGAATATTAAAAATATAACATACCACTATGTTGATTTTGGGTTATTTCTTTATCATCACATTGATTTCCTACTTGTATCAATGAGACCTGTTGTTTTGACACTGTGTATAAGTGTGCCCTTTCCAACATAGGGCCACCACCTTGATCTACCTATAATTTTAAATTAAATAAATGAATACAAGTACTTTTATTGTAAGATTTAATCCATATTACATCAGGTTTTTCATTAGATAAATCGGTTAATATTCGAAGGCTTCTAAATGATGAACTCAAAGGTCTTTGTAAAGATGCTGGTCTTTCAGGTATGGCAGGTTTACGAAAAGCTGTATCATCAGACGTTTCAAGTATTGTACGTGGAGCAACAGCTGGCTTAACAGGACGTTTTAATGAACCTGTATCAACAGCTGGTAACTTTTCTCTAGGAGATTCGGTGGTTTGACTAGGTTTCAGTAAGGAACCGGGTGGAGGTTTATCACAGTTTGTTTTGTCTAGGTCTTTTATTACCACAGGACTTTCAAATACATTATTTGCCTTAGATGTTGGTGATGGTGGAACAGGAGCCGGTTTACTTTTACGTCCTCTTGTATGTGGTTTTGGACTCTCAGATGGAGGACTAAATATTGAATAAATCAATAAATGTTGATTTATATTGTTAACCACTTTGAAACTAAATAAAATACTAACTCTAGTAGTTAAATACAATTATTAAATACCTCATATCAGTAATATTAGTACTAGATCTACTTCGTTTCAAATTTGTGTTAACTGCATCATTTGTAGATATTAAATGTGTATCTCCACTACTAGACCTTTTATGGCCATTAAAATCATTCATATCCAATGCTTTTAATGTCACATAAAATTCTTCTTCTGTAATAAAAATATTTTAAGTAGTTAATATACATGTTAAATTATAATTAAATAATTAATTCTTACCTCCAGGAAATATCCAATCTGAATGAGAAATTAAGCAGTCTACAATCACATTATGACACGCAGCTGCATTCATATTTAATCTAGTAACAAATAATTAATAACATTTAATACTAAAATATTATAATTCTTTAGAAAAAAATCTTTACCCAATATTATCATTTTTATCTTCTGGCGTCCAAAGAAGATTTGGTGCAATAACTATAGCCAAATTTTGAGGACTCATTTTATTAAGATCTTGATGTTTAGTCAACATTGCCAAAAATTTAATAATATATCTTAAGTTGTATAAATTTGACTGTGGTAACTTTTGAACGACATTTAGTATTGCCTGAAGTCTACTTTCACTAGTTTGTAACCTAATAAATAATAATTATAAATCATAAAATTATTAATAATATAATATGATTATTATAACATCAACATTTTTATTTTAACTTGGAATAAATTACAATTGACTTTTGATAACCCAATATTCTTGATATCTCAAATAAATAAAATCCCCCTACAAATAACAATAATATTTAACGTTTAAATAATATTGTTAACTTAAAAATGAATTGAATAAGTTTTCTATACCTCAAGTTTTCTCATATGAATTTAGTACTAAAAATAGATTATCACCATGATTATTTTTCTCTTATGACTTATTGTAAAACTTAACTATTAGTAACTCAAACCTTGATGACTCTATACAATAGATTTCAATTTTAGTTCTTTGCTTTCTGTTTGTCTGATCATGCATTATATCAGTGTGACAGTGTTAATACAATGGTTAATAACATTAATATTTTTATAGTGTTATTATGACACAAAAAAGAAAATTACAACATTATTACTGGCAGAATAAGTGAATTAGTAAATTATTAAAAAGGCAAAAAAAAAAAAAGAAACAACCAAATTTTAGAATTCTAGTGAGTATGTTATCTGTAATAAGAAAATATAAAGATCATAATTTAAAAAACTCAAATAAAAACTCGGCAACTCAAGAAAACTATGATATAGAATCACACTTTAAAAAAACTAATTATATTTAAAACACTTAACAAAATATACATTTTTAAGTTTATAGTAAGTCAAATTTTTTTCCCCCTTGAAAGTTGAGTAATCAAGAGTCGACTGTATTTACATACTTAGCTGCAGCAATCCATTCTTCATATAAATGATGAGTTAATAAAGGTTCTGGTAACTGCCTCAAATAAGATTTTAATACTCCAGCTATTATATGAGGATCTCTGTATTCAACAGCAGATTCTAAATCTAAGCAATTAGAATCTAATCGTAGTTTCATGCATCGTACTTTAGAAGCACCAGCTGCGATTCGAAATAATCCTTCTTCTTCAACACTGATTTCCAATAAAGTGCAAATACACAGTTCAATTGGATAGGCTATTCGTCTTTTAGTAACTCTTAAATGGTCTTCCAGTCTTTGACCAAAAACTGGTTTTGCAGGATTACTGTCTATAGATAACATAAATATTAATAGAAAACTTTTACAATAATTATAAAACATACCAATAACAGTCTCTAATTCAGGAACTATTTGATCTAAAACAGCTAATGCTGTTTGGTGGTAAGAACGTTGATGTTTCATCAATTCCATAAGAATAGAAGAAAACTCTGCTTCTCGGGATATTAATTGAAATATTTCTGATGCTAAGGAATCCTAAATAAAAAAATTATGTAATATTACATAACATTGAATGTTTTATATACATACCCTGCATTGTTCAACTTTAAGTTCTATATCTTCTAATTCTTCTTTACTTGCATCTACTTTATTGGTATGGGAACTTCCTGAATTTGAGTTTTTTATAGCTGTTTGATATCTTAAAAATAAAGAAATTATAATTCAAAGTTTGAAAAATACAATATTGAATATTTTTCAATCAAATAATATGATTTCAGGTGTTCTGATGAAATATGCATTTTTAATAATATGTTATATAAGAATTTAATTGGTAGATTTTTCATAAAGTATTTAAACAATATTTAAGTTTGTAATATTATTAATATTATAATTTAAAAATAACAATGTAATTATTAATTTAATAGTTATGTAAACTAATATGTGATAAATTATATTTACAAATTTAATAATAACTATAAAAAATTACTTTGCTCGAGCTAAATCCATGTCAACTACCAACTTTGTAAGCAAACGTTTTTGCTTAATTATATTTGGCACATCTACATCAAGCACCTGTTGTAGTTTATTAAGTACTGTTTGTTCAATACGTAATTCATAATCTACACCAGCATTAGCTAAACATATTAGAACTTTGCTACATTCTACTAATACTTGGCTGAAAAATAATTAAAATATTATAAATAAGAAAGATTTCATCAAAATGTTATGATCTAAAGTTTAAAATCAGATTGAGTAAATATAATATTAATTCTTAATTTTAAGCTGGTAAAAAATCTATAATTATTAATTCTTGTACTAATTATCTACAATTTAACTTATATATTAATTTTTACTTGTAATAAAATTAATTTTGTTTTACCGTAATATATTATCTTCTTCAATAGTTCCATTATCGAGCATTGCCATGGCTAATAAATAATCTGGCATTTTTTTCTGATAAGTATAAAATACATTAATAAATTTAGTAGTTAGTATTTGCTATTTATTTACTCGAAACTAATTTACTTACAAGTCGTTTTTCTCGTGCAAGCGAATCATGACCAAGTCCAGGAGATATTAATGTAGCTAATAATTTTTTTGTTGTGTTTTGACAAGCATTTTTAATAAACTCAACTCGTTTTTCTGCTATTTGTAATGTATCCGAAAGTGCTTCAGTTTTGCCAGACCTTTAAATTCAAATTATTATGCAAAATTTAATTTGAATGACTAGTAAATATTATTTAATTAAAGACATACCTAGAGAAGGTTTGGTCAGCAAATTGTTTTACCTTGATAAACTGTCTTTTCATCTTTTTTATATAGAAAATAAATTAAATAGTGAGTGTAAATTGAATTATTCTAACATATTATTCTCATAAAATGGATTATTTTATTAACCTGAAAACCAATAACAGTTTATCTCATCATATTATTTGTTTTCTTTGTTTGAATATTTAATGTCACATATGCTTATTAATATTATAAACATGTCAGATATTTAAACCCATCGGATTATTTTTATTAGTCAAGAAGAGTCTTACACATTAAAATATGTTTCATAATTGTACGGTTTTATATAAAAAATAAAAAAAGATATTTTAAAAATGTGTACATGTTTCGGGACTTTTTTTTTGTATATTTTTAAAAAGTTTGTACATAAAATATTATAACAAAACATTTTTGGATAATGTATAAGCATAATTATGATCAGTGCATAGATTTTTACAATGAAAATGCTAAAACATTTTAAAATAATTTAAAAAAAATGTTTAAAACTTGATTTTTATTCCTTACCATTTTGCTTTATATTTTAATATTTAGATTATATGTTTAGAGTACATATTGTTTATTTTAATTCATAAACACATACATATTTTATAGACTTTTCTATTTTAAACATATATTTAATTTAAATAAAATACTCATATTTATAATTAATAATTTTATTGCATTATAATATAATTTATTACAATATTTATAATATTTTTTAGATTCATTACTTTATTGTTTTAAAAGGTACATTTTTACATTGATATTATAACACATGACTTAAATGAATTTCAATCAAATGATTTTTAGATCCAAAACACAATTACTTATTTCTTAAAAATAATTGAATTAAATTAAATTGATTTTATTTCTATTTTATAAATACATAAAAAAAAAAGAAAAAGTGGTAGGTAAAATTTTGCACAACTATTTATAGCAATTAATGGTATGTATGTAGTACTATGAAATGGATTTATTAACTGAGAATAATATTACAGAGAAAACATCGTGCATCAAAATATTGGAGCCTACACTGACACAATAGAATCTTTAAGTAGCCAACAACAAATACTGTTTTAAAATTAATGATACCTATCTACAATTAGATCATTAATTAAAACAAATGGTAGTGATCATTCAATCGATAAAAACTTCTATACTTGATGAATTTTTATCAGATTTAAAAAACAATCTCACAATAAAAACTTAACAAGTAATATCAACTAAATATAAATATAAGACAAACATTAATATTTAAAGTAGGAAATCCAACTTAAATAGTCGATAAACCACATTTTCTTAGTAAAAATTCCCCAGAAATAAAAAACAGACAATTTATTTAAAGATATTATAAATTATTTGCTCTAACTTGTATATAATTTAGTCTTCAAATGAAGTTACAAATTTTACAATACATTATGTAAATTTTAACAAAGCAAACTTTGATAAGTCAAAAATACAAATTTATTGTGGATAAATATAACAATTTAAAAATGTTTTTAACCTTAAATAATATTTTATAAACCTATAATGTTTAACATTCATTAAATGTTAATTCAATATTTTACGTAATTAATTATATTAACAAAAAATCATAGATTTACTTAGAATATCAAAGTGTTTGCTTTAAACTGCTTCCATGAAAAAAATATAAAAATAATAACAAGAATTTTGACAATAAATATATAAAATGAATAATAAGATCAAAATGTATAGAAATTAATGTTTATGAGTAAATAGAATAGTGATTGTATAGTACTACTATAACCAGCCATAATATTAAAAAAATATTAAAACCATTAGTCAACAATTTTAAGTAAAAAAAAAAAAAACAAATATTTATTACCTACCTATGTTTTTTCCATTATATATACTTCATGAAAAAAATGTACTTATTATTGCCAACTAATAAACAAACTATTAAATGAGGTCAGCCACCCATTTATTTAGTTTTTGTAGAAAAAATATAATTATGACACTTTCAATTTTAAAAATGTTCTAACAAAATAAAAATAAAAATTAAAACTTATAAAACTAAAACAGAAAAGTGTCTATTCATTAACAGAATAAACAATACATACATATATTTACAACAATTAATTTGTCATAGTATTTAATTATTGTATTACAACACATAAGTAACTACTAATAAAAAATATGTATTAATATTTTGTTTTTATTCATACACAATATACCAAAAACGTGTAAACATATATTAAGAGCATTAAATAAATGCATTTAAAAATTATTTGATTTCAGTTATTGTTAATATCATTGATATATATATATATATATATATATATATATATATATATATATATATTCAGGTCAATAAATGTAATTTAAGTATAAATATTTCTTGTAAAATTGTAATTTTTATTTAGAATAGTAATTAATTATTTAAATTTGTTAACTATAATTAAATTAAATATTGTATAAGTAAATATTTACTTGATAATAATATTTTAATTAGATTTCTACACAACAATATGAAGTTGTATTATATATATTTTAGTAATAATAATAAACTATCACAATTTAAGAAGAGTCGAAAAAATGATTACATATTTAGTATTATTATAAAACTTTCAATCACTAATATTAATACATTACTAATTTAATTTTTAGTAGCAGGAAACTTAACGATTATAATAAGTGAGTCACAAGAAAAACTATAGTTCAAAATGAGTTGTATACATTTTCTGAAACAATCGATGTTCAAAAATAAATATATCTAACAAAAGTTTGCAAGTGAAAGTATTGAAAAAAATATTTATTTATATTGTCATGTTAATAATATATGGGCTATACCTATAGACTACTAGTTTTGGTGTTAGAGATTTTATAATAAATCCATAAATACACAAGTACCAAAAAAAAAAAAAAATTATTTGAAAATATAATTTCAAGATTAACTTAGTTGAATGATAACAACAATAAATTACTATTTTATCAATCAAAGCATATTTAAAAATTAGTCAAACTTACGATTTAATGATCGTGGCCTCACGTAGATATCCACCATCGAGTTGAGAGGAGCAAGGACAGTTCCAGTATGAAACAAAAACGACGTTTTCAGATGAAAAATTCAATTTTTCTACTACTAGATAAGGGAAAAACTGAAGGAAAATGTCAACATTTATACAGAACTACCAACAAAGATTGTTCTACTTAATGTATTATTTTTTTTAAAATCAATAAAAATTATGATTTCAAGGAAATATCATCATATATTCGGTTATTAACAAATTTAATGAATGGTTTTATTAAAATTTCAACATGATTCTAAAGAATTACATCAATAAAAACCACTCGGGAATTTATGTGACAAACAGTCGAATTGATATCATAGTTTTGAATTTCAAACACTGCACTGTACACGTAATCGTTGGTTGGTAGAATCGATTACATTCCTGATATCGAGAATTTTCTTTGAATTTTCTCTTGTTAGTTGTTTCTAAAATAATTTTCGTATATTGTTAGCTTTAAAGTTCTTTTACATAGTTGACATACAAGTGCTTAATAATAAATGCTGCAGAGATATGTCTGGACAAATTGTGAGTATTAAATATCATTGAAATATATTTAATGTATATTTTTTTTTGTTTTAAAATTATTCTTCTCTATTAAAAGTTGCTGTGTCATTGAGTATTTTTCTATTTAAATATTTTGTTTATAACTTTACCTGAGGTATTGTTTTTCATAAACAAATTTCTGTTTATCTAAAATTAATTTAGTTGATGATTTATTTATTTTGTATTATAATGGACTTAATTACCAACAATTTGTTTATTTATTTTTAAGTTAAAGTAAGATCTTTATGTAATTTTATGTTATTACAACATTAACATTTGTTACACAAAGTTCAATTTTTGTTTTTAAATAAAAATTTAGTTTCTCATATATAAACAGCATTTAATTTCCTACTGCATTTAAATATTACTCATTTTAATTCCATAAGAATTGAACAATAAATTTTATTATCTGATTTGAATATGGCTAAAATTGGTAGTGGATTCCATATCTTCATAACAATTTTAATGATTAATATTTATTTTGTTATTTCATTTTTTTCCAGGTAATACGCGTAGAATCTCCAGATGGAACCAAAAGAGTGCAAGTATCTCCTACAGAAACAAACTATGATTTATTTGAAAAGGTTTTTTAAATTATATTTAAATTATTATTTTTTGCATCCTTTTAAATGTACTCATTAAAAATGACTTAAAGGCCTTATGTTTATGTATATATATTTTTATATTAAAAAATGAATTGTCGGTTTTTATGTTTAGTTAAGATGATATATAACTTTTAAATTTATAATAATTATTGAAAAGAATTATATTGTAAAATTATTTTTGCAGGTTCATAATATGTTTTCTCTTACAAACTATGGTTTCACATTATTTGTTGATCGTGCTCGTAAAAATGAAATTAAATCATCTAGGAGTATATATTTAAGCAGTTTAAACCTGAAGCATGGAGATAAGATATACTTATGTCAATTAGATCCTGATAATATTTGGGCTATTCCTGGCTCTTCAAATGCAGATTTTGCTAATGGGAGTCGCTCATCATCAGTTGTATCTACACCAGGATCCAGTACATCATTACCATTAAATGAAAAGAAAAGCTCAGGATTAACCAGTCAAGTAGATGAAGATGAAGTAGATAAAATGTTGTGGAAACTTGATGGAAAAATTAAACGACTTAAAGACAAAAAATAGTAAATAATATTTCAAAATCTACTTATTTCTTATTCATTAAATATATTTTTATAGATGCTATTAATTTATATATATATATATATTTAAATTTTAGTTGCCGCCATGGAGATAATGGATGTTGTGTTCACTGTTCACCTTTAGAACCCTATGATGAAGAATATTTAAAAACACAAAATATGAAGCATTTATCATTTCATTCATATCTAAGAAAAATGACTGCTGGAATGGCAAAGTATGTAAATAATTTTACTATAGATACTATTCATGTACATATTAATTAATGTAATTAAATTTATATTACAGAGGGAAATTTTTACTGTTAGAAAACATAAGTTGCCGTATTAAAGAAGGTTGTTCTGGTCATTTGCCATGGCCTAAAGGTATATGTTCAAAATGTCAACCATCAGCCATAACACTAAATAGACAGGTAAATAAAATACTTATTGACATTATCAGTGGTTTATTTTTGGTGGAGGGAGCATCAGGGTCTTGAACTCCTCAAGAAAAAAAATTAAAAATTCATAAATGACTTGATACAAAAGTACAGAGAAAATAAACATTAATTAATATCATGTGGTTGTAAATAACTCTTCGTTTTTTATTTATTGTGATACTAGAATAATATAATTATTTATTGATACCTTATGTATATTTTTTAGAAAAATGTAAAACCCATACAAAAAATTAGAAAATATGCCACTGAATATTACAATTCATTGTATATATTTTTACTTGTTAAATAGACTTATAGGCATGTTGATAATGTTATGTTTGAAAACTCTGAATTGGTTGAACGTTTCTTGGACTATTGGAGAATTACAGGACACCAACGTATTGGATTTTTGTATGGGCGATATGAGATACATCCAGACATACCGCTTGGTATAAGAGCTGTAGTTGCAGCAATTTATGAACCTCCTCAAGTAATTAAGATAACTGTTTATAAATTCAATATTTTAGATATAAAATTTAACTTTTTTTACATTAAAATAATAGTTAACTGTTAATATTTATTTTTTAGGAAAGTTCAAGAGATCATGTTAAATTACTACCTGATGAAAAACAAGAATTAGTTAATGAAATGGCCAAATGCTTAGGGCTTACTTGTGTTGGTTGGATTTTTACTGATCTTCTAACTGAAGACATGCAAAATGGAACTGTAAGGGTATTAATACTATAATTTTATATAGTTACTTACCTTTTATTTCACATTTAGGTAAAATATGTTAGAAATATAAAAAGTCATTTTCTATCAGCTCAAGAATGTATAATGGCTGGATACTTTCAAAACCTACATCCAAATCCATGCCGTTATGCATCAAATGGATATTTTGGCTCAAAATTTATTACTGTCTGTGTTACGGGTATGAAATTAAATTGATGAGTGTTAATTAGTGTTCTCGCCATTACCAATTTTAAAGTATATTTTTTCTTAACTTTTAAATGTTCAATTTCTTGAATTAAAATTTTTTTTTTATATAAAATAACTATACAGAATATTATAATCTATAATAATTGTTTTACCTGAATTACATTAATTAAGTTCTTCATTAAGTTCTTAAATATATTATTTTTATTTTTCCTATTTATTTAATATAAACTTTATTCCAGGATTTGATAAATATGATCTATTAGTATATGTTGTAATGTAGGTATCATTTTTATGTAACTCATGTTAGAATAGTTGATTAGAGGTTATAGAGGTTTCTATTGTGACTGGGGTCCCACTCTATAAGGTGAAACTACTGATGGCAATATTCAACTTGTTGATATTTAAGTAGAACCTCCTTATACTTCTTGGTTATGTCATTAATCCTCCCATTTTCATATGCTTGCTGAAAGAAAAAAAATTAGAATTACTCAGTAGCATACTTCTTGTCTTGTATATTTATTAGTTTTTAGTTAATTTAAACTATAACATGCAATGAGCATTTATTTGTTTATATTTATTACTACCATGGTTTGTATTTATAGGAGATGAAAAAAGTCAAGTACACATGGAAGGATATAGTGTGTCCAATCAATGTATGGCATTAGTTAAAGATAATTGTTTGGTACCAACTAAAGATGTACCTGAGTTGGGTTTTGTACGAGAATCTTCTGATAAACAGTATGTGCCTGATGTATATTATAAGGTAAGTGAAAAAGTATATATATTATTTAATTGTTATAGTATGATGTAAAAATTTATATAATTCCATTAAGTTAGAATTAAATATCAAATCCTATGATTTTCTTATTATAAACTTTATTAAGAGTATGACAAAACATCATATTTTTATAATCTATTTTAAATGTACAATTATTTAAAATACTTTTTCTGAAAATAAGTTAGGTTATTAAAAATTAGTTAATTTGCATAATTTCAAGTTATCAAAGCACTGTCGTCTTAGTATAAAATGTATTTAATTATAAATATATACAAATATCTTATTTCAAGACTTGTATTTCGATGTTATCATCAGCTATCTTTAAAGATCTGTATATATTAATATATTACTATATATTTTTATTATTATCAGCCAACGACTATTATATGAGAAATGTTAAAGATAATTATTTAAATATATTCCTTTTTTATTATTAATCTGTGGTAATTTAGGCCATTGTATGTTATTTAGTATGATAGTTTTGTATTTTGTTTATGTAGTACATATTGGGTCTTGAAAGTTTCTTCTTTGTAGTTAGTTTTCTTGTTCAGAAAACATAATCGCTAGTGGCCATGTAAGTCAAACACCTACTCGGTCATTGTTCCATTTCAGTGGTTTTTTTATTATAATTTTATATGGTTAAAAAATCTATACATTTTTTATTATGAATTCAATGTTATTATTTGTAAAGAACAAATTTACCTTTTTACACAAAATCATACTTTTTCATTTATAATATACATCAACAAAAACAAGGCGATGCATGTACAGTAGGGTCTTGATAATCCGAAGACAGACTAATCCAAAAGATGCGGTAATCTGAACTATCGCATCGCTATTATTAATATATATGTATATGTATCATATTATTTCATGGTAATAAAATTTGTCGATTATGTTTGTATGGCTATAGGTGAGTTGTTGCCCGGAATATCATTAATGATGTCCGGAGATCAGTGAATTACGACTTAGTAATATTTTAGCATTAGGTTAGTTGCCGCCCAAAAGACTTTTTCATCTAATCTAATTTTATTAATATTATTATTATCAATATTGTTATTAACAAACTAAATTTGTTGTTTTACTATAGCCATCCTAACATCTATAATTATATTGATGTGTTACTAGAAGTTTAATCTGAGACATATTTAAAATGTAAAAGCAATGGAATAAAAAAAAAAATATGTGAAAAAGAAATATGAAACAGATAACAAAGCTAGCCCAAAAATAAATAGAGCTGTTTGATTTCGTTAAATCATTAAGTTTTAAGTTTTTCCCCAATCAATAACTCAAAAAATGTGTTTTACCTATTCATCAGTAAAAAAAATAATAATACATTTTTGTGAGATGACTTAGCCAACCTCCTCATGGTGTCTTCTGGGTAATACTGTTTGTTAGGCTGATATGAAGTGATAAATAAAGCCGCAATTTGTACTTCTGTCTTATAAACTCGCGTCGCAACTCGTATGTCTATTTCATAAACACGGCAACCTGCCAATACTGTTTTAGGCTTCCCATGCATACATCCTTTATATATGATAGTCGATTATGTTTGTATAAAGACCGTTAAAGACCGTTGGTAATCCAGATGACCCCTTTCCCTAATCTCATTTGGATTATCAAAACTACTATATTTATTATGTTCACTTTTTGACGTATGATTAACACAAAGAATTTAATGAAAACTGTATTATGAGAATTCTTTATACCACAACCAATAGTATTTCATATATATCATAAAATAAGCATAATAGTTGGATTTTTGTTTTTATTGTAAATGTAAATTATTTCAATTGCCTATTAGTTTCTTATGTTTTTACTAAAAACAAAAATTGATATGTTATGAAGACTGGTCATTAGTTTTATTATATAATTTTTGATTTTTAACAAAAACATTAAAATTTTTAGATATTTCTTATACTATTAGGTTATATTAAGTGTAAAAATTTTGTTTTAGTAAATAAATTGTTTAAATGTTTAAAATTTCAATACTCATCGTACGAAAAATATTTTCTAAAAAATAATTGAAATAAAAAAATACTTTACTTTGGAACCCATTTAACATAAATTGTTTAAATTAGTCTTGAAATACTTTTTTTAATTATAATATTAGTTACATCTGGTAATGGAAATTATATATAAAATGAGTAAAATAAGTCCCACCGAAAATATATTTTTATTTATGAAAAACAAAATATTGATAAACAAAAAAAATATATATATATAAATCCTATTTAATTTATAGAAAATTTAAGCTTTCTATTTCTCAACTAAAATAAAAATACTATTCTTAAACATGTTTTTGGTATATATATATATATTACCAGGGGCAGATTGGCCTATCGGGAAATCGGGAATCTTCCCGATGAGCTTGTCCTTATTTGGGCTGCTCTATATTATTATATAATCACAAAAAAAAAAATTTATTTTGTAGAATAAATAAAAATTATTAAAAAAATAAATACATAATTAAAGGTGCATTAAGATCAAATTTCAAGTTCAAGTTGGAACTGATTAATCATGTGACTTACCCAAAACTATTATAGCTATAATTATAGTAAAGTTATTGTAGATTTTAGTAATTTAGGAACTAAACAAATTTTGAAATTGATGCAAAATAAAGCATTTTTTTGAGAAGGGGAAGGGTAAAATAGTATAATTTGCTGTTCATGGGCTGAAAATAATTGCCAATCCGCCCCTGTATATTACTAAATACAATTATAAGCATTTGTAAATTTTCAGACCATATGGTGGTGATTTATTTCTTTTTTCTTTAACTTCAACAATATTGATATTTGACCAATTAGACTGAATCTATTACAATAAAAATGTTGTAACATTATATATTATTTATGCTGTACAAATAAAGATGAGTAAATTAATTCAATGTTGATACCTCAACACTACATTATTTTTTAACTCATAATTCATGTATATTTTTAAGAATATAAGTTGAATGAAGATATGGAGGTAAACATTTAATAAAATAACATAAATATTTTACTGTGCTTGACTTAATTTTAGAATGCCATTATATTATTTTATAATTTCCATACACAGGTACATTATAACAGTTATTATTTTAAACTAATATATATGAATAATATACTTTTCAAAGGGAATTTCAAAATAAAATTTATCGAAATGACCAATAATGAATTACAAAAACATTCACTCATTACTATAAACTACTCGTTTGATTATATAGTATAAATATACATTAAAAACCAGTAGGGGTTTACACTTTACCACAACTAGATATGACAAATGTTTTGGACGGTTTGCCAGTTTGATCTCCAAACGAGGCCATTTTTTCTACGAGATCAATGCCATCAACCACATGTCCAAAAATTGCAGTGAAACCACGCATCTCTTGCAGTATTATACGAAACTGTGATCCAACCATACCCATATTATCATGTCTTTTTTGAGTGCGGCGCATTCCAACTGCTCCTCGAACTGCAGGAAACTTGGTGTCATCTGGCATGAAGTAACTTTCTTCATATATAGATTTGCCACCTCGACCATTATTTAATTCAAAATCACCTGTTATCACAGACTCCCCTTCCCAACATTGAAATATTGAACAGCCTTTATATGAACAACCATTTGCATCACCATTAGTCAATACTTCAAAATTCTTTGACATTTTCGGTGCAACATCAGGTCTGGTTTCAATGACTAATCGACCAAATGATGTCCCATTTACTTCAATATTAAAGTAAAACATTGGAAAAGTATGAACACTGCGTACTGAAGGTACATTATTTAAAATAGTCTGCGGTGGACTGTTTTGTGATGTTATTAGTACAGGTTCATTGGATGATATTGAAGAAAGAGAATTTGTATATTGAGTGGTAGACGAGTTACCTGGAGAGTTTTTGACAAATTCCTGGCCATTTACAAGTTGTGTTACATGTTTAGGTAGTACATATTGTGTAAATAATTGTGCTGTACAATAGTTTGCCAAGAAAAAAATATGAGTGTTTGGATTTGCCAAGTCTGAAGATTTATATGATTCTAAAGCCATTGATTGTAATGAAGATAATGATTGTTTAATCATACCAAAATCTAACAAGTTAGTAGAAGATATAATATCCTCAAATTGACCGTGGGCAAATTGCTCAGAATATTTATTTTGTACTTTCTGCTTTACTTGTTCTAATCGATTTAAGTATAATTGTAAATCATATAAATCATCTGTACGCAAATTTGATGGTTTGATACTATTAAGAGCTTCATTAGTCTGCAGTAAATCATTTGTATTTTGAGTCCAACCACTATTTAACTCTAATTCAATTTGGGTTTTTAATGTATTACAAGCATCTAAAACTCTTAACAAAAATTGTCGCTTATGTCCAAATAGATTTTGAATTTCACTCATCAGTTTAGCAATAGCAATAGTTTCAACTTGGACCTAAAATAAAAATATAATCAATTAAGTGTAATAGAATTATAATTTTGATTACTTACTTCACCAATTAAATGATCACGTGCATCATTATTTGATTTTATAGAGTGTCCTACATGATCGGATTGAGATCCGCATGCTCGACATATTAGTTGCTGGCAATTATAACACCAAAATGAAAATGGCATTCCATGTGTATGACAATTTTCACCCTAATTAAAGAAAACTTTAATGACATGATATTTTCTTTAACCAGAAGACTAACCTTTCGTTCTTTATCAACAGAATTATTAACTTTAACATTAGCCAGGTGTCTGATTAGACTGAGAATAGAATTTTGTGTTCGTAAAGTTTCTGGAGATTGCTCATCCAATTCAGTACGTTTCCAACAATTTATGCAATATACTTCTAAACCTTTGAGCATAGTAGTCTTAACACAACGCAAGCAGAAACAATGTTTGCAACTGAGTTCTTTTGGCACAAATTCTGTGTCATTGAATTTCTGCTTACAACAGCCACAAATTATAAGTTCTTCAAACTCAAAATCTTTTTTAGTGTCCATCATCTATAAACCGTATTTAATAATAATATAATTACTTTTGTATCAGAATATTGAAAACTATCCCATACAATTTAATTTAATAAGTATCCTTGATTATTTTATTTCATATTTAAAGTAAAAATTCAGTTATGACGATTTCCAGTGTACCGAATACACTTGACTGTTATAATAAACTATTTTTAATGAGTATATAAATTTTAAAAAATCTCAATATTAGTATTAGATTTATACTTCCATTATGATTTTACACAAAACTCAATTTCATAAATAATTTTACTGAAAACTTGATGAAATAAAAATAATTCATAGCTAAAATAATGTTTATAATTAAAACTAATATATTTATATTTGATATGATATAATTATCTTAAATATTCATGTATGTATATATTTAAAATTGTTAAACCAAAAATAAAAAATGATATACTTATTTATACCTAACGGTTTAGAATTTATATTACAATGGTAACATTTTTGAAGCTCTTAATAAAATAATATATCTAAGTTATCAATAATCATGAAGTATATAACATAATATCATAGTATTATGCACAACACATGCATTATATTAGTTCTGTACTCAAAGTAGCGAAGGTCAAGGGTGGTCGATAATAACATAAAACTCGATTTATAATAACTGTAGTGTTTAAGTGCGTTTTATTTGTGTTCTACATAAATAATTGATGATTTGTGTGGACTAGAAAAACTTGATTATATTTCTATGATAAGATGATGATGATGATGATAATAATAATAATAATAAAGTGTAAGAATTAAATATTAATTTAGGTAATTAGGTTGTACATATGGTGTGTGCAGAGACACATTAACTTACACTTTGGTGAAATGTAAACAAAACCAGGCGGTCGAACGATTAGCGCAGTGTTACATATATATGTATGTACGATAGTATGTTTAATAATAATAATAGTAATAAACGCGCGTGAGTTGATAAGTACAGTCCCGTGTAGCGAGCGCGTAAAAAATCAAAACATAATGCACTTATCAATGGCGATGAATACGGTGGCGGGTTAACGCGATGACCGGTGGTGCACTTTATTTTTATATTTTAATATGTTTTTAAAATGTTAATTACGACGATACGGTTCGGTAGTACCTTGTGGTTTTTAGAAAAAAAATAATTCGATTACTAATAATAATAATAATTATAATAATAATATAATTTTTCGATGACGGAAGTTACGACAACGTCGACGATGACGGTAGTGAGACGGACGTTGAAGGCAATCGGCGACAACGTCAAAACGATAATTACAATTAGTTAATAGTTTACGCGGTGTATATCATAATATTGTTATATACGCCAATAATTATTATCAATCGTGTAATAACTATTGCACTAGAGACGTGTATGAATTATATTATTATTTGGCACGGCGACGGCGGTGCTGTTTCGGTAGCACTAAAATCGGGGCGGCGGTGACGGCGTCGTTCGCTCGTCATCATCACGTTTCCGCTATGCACAAACGCGTCGCGCACGAATAAATCGACACTGTCAGCGGCGTTTGGAAAACAACAACAATAATAACAACAATAACTGCTGCTGCTGCTACGGCGGTATCGACGACAGCGGCCGCCGTGTTGCATGGCGATCGCTTCGGACGGTGCGTAAGTAACTGACTGGTGCCGCGGCGGCCGTGGTTCAGATCGGGCCCGGTGTTGTGTGTGTGTGAGTGTGTCTCGATCCCTCTCTGCGCGCGCGGGTTTTTCGGAAGTACGCACTACGCAGTACTCTCGCGGCTGCTCCGGGTTTCGGGTTTTTTTTTTTTTTTTCACTCTCCACGCCGCCGTGTTGTTGTTTTTCACCGCCCCGTGTCTTCTTTCCGCCACGCCGTGCCGGCAGTGCATGACGTACGCACGGTCTACCGTAACACTATTTACATTAATACCTACGCCCCGTCGCCGCTGTCCAGCGAAAAAAAATGTGAAAAAAGTTAAATCTTAGTCATCCCTCTGCCCACAGTTCCGAAATATGCGTTTCCAAGACTCCCATATCACATGGAATATATGTATAACGTATCGTTATTACGTGACATGACGTGACGCCGGTGGAATCGTGATTAATTGTGCTCGTGTGGTGGTATATTGTATTAACGCGACGGTTAATTACTAGTATTGTTGTTGTTTGTTATTGTTATTATAACAAAATATTCCGGCCGAAGTGATTTCACACGTCGGGCGTGACTGCGGACTACGCGATACGATTTTTTTTTATATACGAATTGGACAATTTTTTGTTTACCGCGTGTTGAATTACACGTTATACGTGCGTCGATCAACTCGTATCTGTATTGCGCGTATTATGCTCTGCGCAATGGCGCGTACGAACGGCCGCATGCACTTGTCTGCTTAGGATAGCGCAGAGATAAAATGATCGTTAAAGTAACATAAATAAGTGACGTGTGTCTTGGGTAGTGTAGAGTTTTTCAAATTTAAGGTGTGTCCCAGAGATTCCGTTGGAAATCTATATGATATATTCATATAAATATAAGTATCATAATTATTTACGCATACTTGAGACAAGTGAGAAAATGCAATTTGTTATTTGAAGAGTAGGCGTGGAATTGTAGTATTCGCCAAGAACACATAGTTTAACATCAAATATTTATTTATTTTAGAATACTCTTTATATTATCGTAATCAATGGCATAACGTACAACAATATGTTTTTAAAAATATTATTTCGTTCTATTTTCTTCTTCGAAGTCTTTCGATAAAAGAAAACTAGAAGGATTCTACAAATACAATTGTATTTACTATTCTAAACGAGTTCTTATTAAAAAAATATAAATTCTTATGCTTACAACGGTGATATAAGTTTTTTGTTGATTACATTAAATTAATTTGATTTGATATTTTAATTTTCATTCTTCCTGTTTATCATATTATTCGTATTTATCTAACCAAATCTATACTAATTAGGATTTTAAATTTCAATTTAATTATGTAATTAATTATTACATCTAACATTGTTAAAATATATTACTATTAGATATATCAATTAGAAAATGTTTAAGTATTAATAAAATATATGAATGGCCTAAATGGCCATTAAAGCAAAAAAAAAAAAATAATAAAAAACTATAATTTGATTATTTAACTTTACAAATTTGTTATGAAAAAAAATAAAATAAATATCATTGTTATTACTTTTCCATTAATAATTTATCGAATTATCGGCTGAACACGAATTGCATCCCAGGTTGTCTAGATGACTACACGATAAATTAGAAAATGGCCAGTTAACTCATCACAATTTCATTAAAAAAGTATCGTTCAAGTGTTCACTGATTTTATAATTTTTTAAATTTAATCTTTTGATTTTTTTAATATAATTTAATTTACATACTTCTAATTTCATAACAACGACCAAAAAACAATATTTTTATTCTACTGTTAGTAATCATTTGTTATTGATAGTCCCAAGTCTATATCGATGGGACGCAATTCATGTGCACCGGAATTATTAAAAATAACAATGTTAACAGTGTCTGTTGGCGACACCTATCATTTTTTCCTTCAATTGATTACAAAAAAATTAGGTATACAACGAATCAAATGTGGTACAAAAAAAAAGACGAAGGCCACCGTATCATTCCGTACTAAATTTAGAATAATATGTTTTCAAATTCAAAAAGAATAATTAATTTTGTTATTCGTGAGGTTTTATTGTCAATAAAGTATTTCCTAAAAATAAATTATTTTCAAGAATAATGTAATGACGTATTTTAAAACTATTGTTCTAGTTTGAATTATAATTCATAATGTATTTTAATTTTTTATTACCTTGTAACTTACTACGTAAGTTTCATTTATTTTCAAACACGAATGTTGGATGCTTATAATAATTTTTAAAATTAATGAAACCAAATATCTCAAAACAATAATAAAATTTATTAGAATGAAATGCTTTTGAGTTGCATATGCTAAATACTATATTATATGATAGAAATATTGCAATAATAAATACCTATAATTGATAGACTTATTGTACGTATATTTATATCTATTCGAAAACTGGTTTTTTATTTTCTAACCGTGTTCCTACGTTTTGAACAGTTGACGGCTCACGGTCATTCGACTAGACAACTAACAAAAATTACACCCTATTTACACATTTGGAGTACTAACGTACAACGAAAAACAAGCCTCCAATAGCACCTGGCATATGTATTACGCATGTCAAGTACAATATGTTCTTTGTAATAATATTATTGTTATTATTATTATCATCATTATTATTCGACATAAAAAACGGCTTTGTCGAGCACGTGAAATCGTATCGTATGCATTGTCGTCGTCGTCGTAACGAGCAGAAAACGTTACCGGCGGAAACTCGTTCGCGTACGGTATTTCGTGTCTCGTTGTTATGGCTGCATCGACGCGGCGGCTGCAATTCACGGTCAAATGTGTACCACCACCCGGCACAACAAATGCTGCCCGCTCGCGGCGGTGCAGCAGCCGCCGCCACCGCCACCACCACCATCGCCATCTTAATAGGATCGACCCCTAGCCTCGCTGCTAACGCCGCCGCCGCCAATGGATTGCACACACGCACCGCACCACCTCACTCACGTATATAATATGTATGTAAGCTCGACGGAGCTCTTGCCCGACGGAAGTTTTCTCCCACGCTTCCCGAGCGGAGCGCCGCCGTATTCAGTGCGACACAACCTGACCCGCGTTTGGGCTGGTTCAGTACTGTCATTTTATTATTATTATTATTATTTTTATTACTGCTCGGGGGGGTTTGGGTCCCTCGGCGGCCGCCGCCATAGCCATTGACCTTGACGAGTGACGTCACCCCCGGAACGTCGTATGTTTGTTTTTGTTTCCCCCTCACGTGTGTATCTTACCGCTATCGGATTTTCTGGTCAAAACATTGAACGTCACTTATATTTACATAAGTTGTATTATGTGATTTTGACGGACAATACTGTTGGTCGACTTTAGCCACTTGCCACTGCAACGCCTTCGTAGATGTTAAGAAACCGGAGAGCGTGGCTGAAAGTATTGTTGTTGTAGTGATGTGGTGGCGATGGTAGAAGTCAAGTATCGGTCTTTCATTCTTCTTGTACAGTCATGTTTCATTACTTATATGATGGTGTACCATATGGTGTATGATGTTGAGCGTGTGATCTAATGGTTACCGCAGATTACAGAAGTGTTGTAGCAAAATAATATAATTTTATTGTATTAATGATTTAACAATACTATAATCAATGAGTAATTGTAATGCTTAATACGGTTTATCGATTGCCTCCACGTTGTAGAAAGCAATTATAACTCGTAATTGACATTTCCGCACGCCCGATATCATATATTTCCGAAATTGTGTTAATTTATTTCTATTTTTCATGATTTGGAATAATTTAGTAAATAACTTTTATTCGCTTCATTCACTTTTAGAGGGGGTATCCACACAGTACCAACTTGTCTAGTGCTAAAAAATGTACCGTTCGTTTTTCAGAATCTTATATTTATCCTTGCTGACTTCCTGATCGTTTTTTAGTGGCAAGTGCTTTCATATTTACTATATATTATTACTTTGTCTACAGCATCAACGTTTAAACTTCAAAATATAGAAAATGTTATCTACGAATTTATTGATGGCAATAAAAATCAATAAAAACTAAATAAATATTGGTTCGTACTACAAATAGCCACATTATTGGATTATAATTTTACATGTTATTATTAGACATGGTGTATTATTATTGCTTCATTGTTGGGGTTTTTGGTAATTCATTACGGACATGAGGATAATTCAAAATTAATCTTTCACCGGATATATCCAAGAATGTTATTTATTTATTTAACTACATATTATCATTCTCTTAAAATATAAATTAATCTTTTTTTGGACTACGACTATTTTTAAATAAGTTTCTTTCGGATACCATTGATGTTGGAGCACTATGTCTGTTTCTGTATTACTGTAATGAATATATTTTCCATTCAAAAGGACCATTAAAATAAAATATATTCTTTAACATCATTTACCTAGATGGAAATTTTATAAGTTCATAATTTATTGTAATATTAATCGAGGATTTGTCGTGCTCTACGTGTACATTATTTTAAATATTTTTATTAAACTAAGATTACTTGCGAGGTACTTAAGTGGGTTTTCTTCAATATGAATTAATATGAATTATGAAAGTATCAAAAATTATGTTGGTGATAGTAATTACTAATTTCAATATAATATTCATAGATAGTATTTTTTTACTCTAAAATAATATAATTCTAATGCATTTTAAAAATGCAGGATTCTTGAAAATTATTATTTATGTTGATCTTCACATTCATTGAAGAGTTGAATTACAAAATTTACTGAGTTATTTTTTTTTGAAGCAATTATACCTTTATTATTTAGCTATTTAACATGTTTTTTTTTATAAGTAAAACTATATTAATTAATAACTATTAAAAAAAAAAAAATGATTTTACACGCCGTACCATTATAAATGTATAATATTATTTTGTATGTAAAGGGGGACATACAATATCGTATTTAGATGAATTAATTATTTTATGAAAAATTTAGTAAATTTACATGCGGAATGGTACGGAAAATCTAAATGTTTCTCTAACCTTGAATAATTATTTACATTTTATATTAATATAATCAATATAACATAAAAACTTTGGTTATAGTAATTCATCACTTCATATAACTTAAAAACCTAATCGATGTTCTCTATCGTTTATAAAAACTATTAGTATTCAACATGTTATAATAACATTTTTTCATATCAAAAATTTTATATAATTTCAAAGCAAGGGCGTATTTTAATTGAGACTATGAGGGGGGGGACGAAACTAATTTTTCTTCAATACAAACTTAAAAATAATTTACAGTTCATTACCTACAGCTCATGTTCCTGTAATAATGATAACATATTATAATGTTAGACTAGCAATTTATATTCTTAATGATTTATACATTAAATTTTTTAAATAAATCAATATATTATATTAAAAAAAAAAATAGTCATGGGGGCGAATGCTCCGTTCGCCCCCTTCAAATACGCCCTTGTTTAAGAGTACATATTCAATGTTTAATTAAATGATCAAATTTATCATTTAATGTATCTTTACAATAAATAAAAAGTTTTGTTATAAAAATGAAAATGCGTGTATTCATTCCTGTAATCAATAATTAAATATTTTGTAACTCAAAATACATATGGCCCACGACAACTCGCTTCATATGGCCTATTCGTATTATAAGGTTGAACATCCTTTTGTTATATATTAATACATTCTCAAATTTATACTGAATTATATGTTTATTAATATTTTTTTTCTGTAAGAAATATTTGTCCTTTTTTTTTGTTATTTATTCAGTTTTTTTAGTTTATATGATTTTTAAGGATTCAAAATTATATCTATAATTTCTATAATGATGCATGTTTCAAAGTGTATAGGTTATTTCCAGAGAGCAAAAGAAATCCCTAACTTTTCGTTGTGTAAAAATATATTTAATTTTATTTTTAAAATATAATTGTAAATTTTGTATAATGGATTTGATATTGATTATTCTAATGTTATAATAATAATAGAGTGTTTTAATATAAGACAACTTATGGATTATCATCTTAATAGGTTCGTAGGTACTACATTTTGACTGAGTTCAAAATGAGTTGATTATTTTGAAAATTTTCTTTTAAATAATAATAAAAATTGTAATTCACTTTTATACGTAAAAATGTATGTTAATTATGTAAATAATTTCATTATAATTTTTTCCTTTGTGTTGTTTATTAGGAAAAAGACAACTATGGCAACGAAGTTTCTAAATTAGCCCGTCCACTACCTGTGGAATACTTGTTACTAGATGTACCGGCTTCCACACCTTTAACTCCATTGAACACGTTCACATCAATCCCAGGGATTACAAAATTTCCTGTTGGTAACAGATTAATTGATGGACATATTCAAGATTTTGATTCATTGTCCAGATATCTTAGACAGTTTACTCCTTCACAATTTCGTGAATCCATTGCTGATTTCCATGTACTGTTATATATTGCTACAATGGAAATGCTTCCAATGAAAGTAATTATAGTTTAATATTTATATTAATAAATATTATAGTTTAATAATTATATTAATATAAATATTAATGTTTTAATATATTTTAATTAAAATATTTTTAGGATTCAATGGGTCCTCTTTTAGAAGCACTAAGAATTAATGATACACAAGCATTGATCGAATGGTCTAGATCAGATGTATGGGCCACGTTGGAGCAACTTATCAGCAATTCTTCTGATTCTGCTGTATCAGGTCATGTAGGAAATGGTTTTGCATCTGCTCATGCAGAATCATGGACATGTATTCATTGCACTTTCCTGAATAATTCTGATCGACAGTCATGTGATATATGCAGACTACCGAGGGATATTATAAACTAAGTGCGTTTCATTAAGCATGTATTTCCTTCACAGTGAAGATTATTAAATACATATTATATATATATATATATTTTATATATATATTTTTTGTATGCATTGTTTATTATTGAAAAAAGAACTAAATAACACAGATAATATTGTGTAATGAACTTTTATTTTGTTTTTAGATCATATAAATGTATGTACATAAAAATATTTTTAAAAAAGGTGAATTATCCCAAAACAAACGAGATTTCCAATTTTAATTAAGTTTTATAATTTCACTAGAAATTTATAGTAATTTTTATCTATATTGTACTGGTATTTTATTTTAATGATTTTTCATAATATTAAAACTGAAAAACAATAAAGTTTATACCAAAGGTTTAATAAGACTTAATTATTTAATATTTGTAAATTACACTATTATATAAAATATGGTTCCAAATTTTTATTTAGTCAATCCATATTGTTGAAGTGGAGATTACTCTAGTTGTTTATTTCAAAAAGTATTTTTACAAACATGAGAGTATAATATCATAAACAATAATCAGGTGTAATGTATTAAATCATTTTTTTGTTTTACAACTATATAACTTAAATATCTTTTTAAGTATGAAATACTTATTCAAAACCTAATCGTTAAAATAAGTATTTCATATACTTATATGTTTTCAAATAAAAAATAACAAATTGAACTACACATTTGCAATATAATATAATTATTGAAAATAACATTATACAATTTGATAATATTAAGCAAATATATTGGGTCTTAATAACTAACATTTAAAAATATTTTGTTTATAAGTATTTATAAAATATGTCACAATTTTTAAAGAAAGGCAGATCAGAAAAAAATATAATATTAAGAAAAACGGTTTAACAAAAAATGTCTGTTCAAATAAATGGTTGGTATGCAAGTTTCAAATAACTGGTGGAAACTCTGAGTCATCATTCAATTTAAATCGATCTACAGATATATCAGTCAAGCTGTCAATATGATTGTCTGCATCTGTAATCATACATTAAAGATGACTAAAAATCAAGCATAAATCCTACAAGTTGTTTTCAATATTATTTTGTATTTTTTATACATGGATGCGTCTTATCATCAAATGAAAAATCCACCAATGTTGTTACGAGTTGTTATAACAAATACCTGACTGATTGAGCGAAGGATGTCCCTTCAGGGCACCAGCATAACTTCCGACTGGATCTTATTAGGTTTAATTGTATACACAAAGAGACACACAGATACATCATGTTCATTTGAAGAACACCAATTTAGAGGGAAAGAATCGAGCAGCAGAAAACAAAACCAACAACGGTGTCAGTCAAACCATGTTAAAGTTAAGGGCTAATGCTGAATATACTCACTTGTAACAGATAGAGTGCCATCCAAGCATTCCTCGGCTATATGATTAGTGTCTAACATTACTGCAGGCCCATTATCTGTTCCAAACAATTTAAGAAACTTCCAATCAATGACTCGAAGCAAATGTTAATTGTTGGTTACAAATGGAGTATGTTCAATTTTAGAAGAATATTTAGTTGAATATCAACCTCGAAATATGTGTAAGATATAGATTTATAATTTAATAAGAAAAATCAGCAACAAAAGAATGATATAATATAATGTTTTTCTAATTCAAATTGTTAGTAAACTCAAAATAATATATTTCTATTAAAATTGGTAATTGTAAGATATTAATGAATAATGCGTATAGTTGAGTCGAATAATTTTAGTTGGATTTATATTATTTAGCATAAACTTTTTAACTGCTCGTTAATCTGTTACAGGCAAATTTCTGACACACAGTTTACATTCAGTTTGATCACTTTGAATTTATTATTTTTTAACGGTTCTATATAATGTAAAGTCAATGAAATGTTATTAAACAATTTGCCTACAATTAAATACAATGTTGATAAAATAAGCTAAATTGCTAACTCATCTAATTCTATATTCATATATATGTATTTAACGCCTCATGCTTTATTATAATTTATTGTAGGTTTTAATACAATAAATATTATTAATGTATTGTAGATTTACAGATAAAATACTATTATAAAAACATTAAAAATTTTCTCGAAATCCTAAGTCCAAACAATAAATACACCAAAGTTTATGAAATAATATTTCATGAATAATATAAAAGGACATAATAGAATAAAATTAAAAATTAAATACACCTCAGTAGTTATGTCTATGATAATGAAATGAGTGTTACAATGAATTTATAGATTAAAATGTGCAAAAGAATCTTTTGTTAGATCTTTTGATTTTTTTTTTAATTTTACCAACCTAGATTTTTATTAATTGGCGATTCTGCTTTAATATTTTTATCCATTTTAGTTGTATTAAGCTCCTTTGATTTGACTGGTTTAGGGCTATCCACAACATCTACTTGACCATCCAGTCTAAATAAAATTAAATATATATACAATTATGTAAATAATACAAATAAGTAAATATACAACAAACCTATGAGTTCGCCAAAGAGTACATTCACCACCCTCTTCCATATCTAAATTATAAACATATAAATATCCATGAGATGAAGCAACCAGCAACCTTAAAACTTTATCAACCCTAAAAAAATTAAATTTCAAAATGATAAATACAAAATATTTTGATTAAAATCAAGAAGTCACTTACATCACTATGGTACAAATATTTTTTAATCCTTGGAAAGGCAGATGTATTGAAGCCACAGCTCTTCCTTGATTGAAAACATCAGTTACTTGAGTCGGCAGATAATTAGCCGATGCAGTAACAGCTTTTGATAAAAATGACATCCAACTTTGTTGTTCTTCGGGCATTTGTGGACTGTTTTATATTAAAAATTAAATTAAAATTTTATGAACATTCAATGAAGACAATTTAAAAATAAATTACATACATTTCTTTAGTATCATCCAATTTGAACACATGTACTGTTTCAGTATTACTAGATGAACATAAGTATAAACCATCAATACTAAACGCCAAGCTACAAATACTAACACAACGTTTAACACCACGGCGAAACTCATACAGCTTGGAACCATCAGCAATGGTAAATACTCTTATAACAGTGCCACGTTCACTAGCTGTAGCTATTCTATTTCCTTGGTGACTAATAGCCATTGCTGCCAAAGGACTTTCGTGTGCTGAGATCATGGACACGGATTGCTAAAATATAACAATAATAATTAATTGTTAACTCATGTAAAATACAATGCTAATGAAGCAATACCAAATTGATGGCATCAAAAATTTGCACTTCACCAGTTGTACTAGAACCTGGATATGCTAAATAACACATATCACTATTTGTAGATAAACAACAAAGTCCTGCAGGATTTGGAGGAGTGTCTCTGATTGTATGCAAGACTTTCATGTCATGTATATTGTGTATATACAATGATTCTTCTAGGCACACAACTAATCTCTAAAAAAAAAAAGAATATTAATTAGGTACAATCAGTGTATTAGTAAACATAATATGAAACATATATAATTAGGGCTAGAATTTTAATGCTCTAAAAAAATAATAAAAAATTCACTATAAAAATGCATAAAAAAATGTATTTATTTTAGTTTAAAATTATATTATAAAAATCATGTTACCAAACATTTAATTATATTTATTTAACATAATAATAACAAAATAGGTATTTACAGGGTGCCTCAAAAAGAACGCAGAATTTAAATCTGTTATAAATAATCCAGGAACTTCTCACGTTGTAGAGTGATTATTTCTCCTGAAGTGTAACAAGTTGAAACCAAACCTTTTTTATGTTCATTTAGTCCAAATAATGCCAAAGAAATTTACTAAGCTTAGTAGGTATTCTTGTAGAGTTACAAAAAGACGGCGCAACTTATTAAATTACAAGAAAAACAATCCCTCTGCTATGTGAGAAATTTCCGGACAGACTTATCTCGTTGCGTGTCCATAACTACTCACCTCGATTTTGCGACTTGACGCCGTGTGATTTTTTCTTATAGGGATACACTAAGTTACAAGTTTATCAAAACAAAGTTCGAAATGTCTTGGAACTTAGGCAAGAAATTCGTCCTGTCCTCAACGAACTTGATGGAGCATTGTGTTATCCAGTGATGATATATTTTATGGAAAGAATAAGAAGATTAAGAATAATTGCCTGTAGGCTGTATGCCCAATATTGTTTTTCACTGTTAAAACTTAACTTCTCCCGAAGAGAATGATATATTTGTTATGTTTTTTTTTTTTAAAGAAATACATTTAAATTATAACAAATTTAAATCTTGCGTTCTTTTTGAAACCTATATTTGTTTAATATTTACATTTTATTTAACTTTATTTAAATTTATTTTATAACTCACTGTTATGATTTTTGTTGGACTCTTGTGAATAGAAAAATTTCTTTCAACTATATTCATTTTATTCTGTCTTTGATGAAATAGGTACATGGGTCGGATATGCTCGAGATGTATTTATTAGTTTATCATTTAGTAGATTACACACTAAACCTGCAAGTTTTGAGCAAAAAAATGCCGAAACGCATAGTAAAATACCCTAATATTTAAGAATTTAAAGATAAATTCTGAAAAATGCTCTAAAAACTTGAAAGATGCCCTAAAAATAGCAACATATGCCCTAAAAATGCATATAAAGTTAAATTTGTCGTAAAATGCAAAAAAAAAAAAAATGAAAAATAAAAACTACATTTAATTAATCGGTATTATTTGAAACCCAATTTCTTCTTACGGGTTAGTAAGTATATGTTGGGACTTCAGAAAAGAAAATCTATTTACATCAAAATTCCAGCCCTATTGATATAATCAATATTGATAATATATACTTACCGCTCTATTTAGTTTTACACCAAGAATAGTATTTGAGTAGCTGTAATTACATATTTCATTTCCTTTTTTAAAATGGCACACTCTCAACTTACGTGGCGACGACAAGCTGACCACTGCAACCAGGCTACTGCTGAATAACCTCTCCACAATACAGATATCTTCAGATTCTGTTAGAAAAAAAAGATAAAATAGGAATTATACTATAACTTTTACACAAAATAATACATAATTAGAATTCTAAAAAAGTTAGACATTACCATTTTCATATATTTGGTCTAAATTATCAACAGAAGACAACGAGTACAAACGATATCCGGTTTTTGTACCAACTGCTAGCGACCTAAAACAAATTAATTTTATGTATTTCATTTTTACATATTTTATTAAATCATTAAAATAAATCAGAATAAAAACTAGGATAT